CTTTTCGGTACCAAAAAGGGAATTATTGGCACCCCAATCGGAAGAGTTTTGTTGAATGAATAGGGCGATAAGATTTGTAATTTTCTTCTGTACACTTGTCTGGAAAAGTCACTTACATACTTACTTAGATGAAAATTCGTTGAAATACTGAAATTTTGTTTCACTCCATAAACACGTATATAACGATTTAAGCAGCTTTATAAGTACAATAAGCTTTAGTTTTTGCTCAAGCAATATCGTGAAATAGTCATTGTTAATATTCCGACATTTTAAAGGTGGTTTTAAACGGGCGAATTATATGGCTGTCATATTGTTTCATCACGATCCCTACTATTCAGTACTACCGTACTTGATGTTATACTCTATAGTTACTTTTATAAAGTTTTCTAAGAAGAATGACCCAGTAGGTTAGGCACTAACCTTTCTCCAGCTCTTGTTTTTATTTTACTGGTGTCGTTTTTTTTTCCTTCGAAACCAATCTTGTGTTAAATTTCTGTAGCTTTTTGATCTTAATTTACCCTTGAAGCGCTATGTTAACACTGAAATTTGAATTTTAAAGACTGAGAGTCCTAAAATGAAGAATAGGGAATAAGTTTATAGTATTTGTTTTGAACATACTTATCTCACTATAATGGACGTAGCGTGTATATATGTATCTATCTATGTATGTGACCGAAATAATAAATACAATACGGCGATATCTAATGAATGATACCACAAACAAAATTCCATAAAAATAAATTTACACTTAGAGAATTCAAGATTCAAACAATTATAAAAATAACTACGTTATGTGCAATAATCAATTCTTTATCACAGAACACAATTTTAAATAAAAGTACTCTCTTCACAACAAAAACACGACTTTCACTGGAACTGTACGTGAGGGTTTGATTATATCTTTATTGATGTAATTTGTAAATATAGTACTAAAAATGGAGTTCTTAAAAACTTATTTTTTCATCAAAAAGTACCACTTTTAATATATAAAAACATTACAGTCTATATCAGCACAATCCAAACTCTTTTTTTTCGTGAAATACTTTGCAGAAAAATTATTTTTTTGGAAAATGTACAATTTTTTTTTTCTAATTTTTTCAATGAGATATGAATACTATGATTAGTAATAATAAGTTGAAAAAACAACGATTTATGAGCACAATGAAAAGAAGACAGACCAATGTTTTGTCAAAACATGTAGAATGTTTCCTCAACAATGAATTGCTTCATTATGCTTATAAATCGTTGATTGTCAGTTTATTATTATATTAGCTTAACGTACTTCCATATTCGAACATACTTATAGCAAAGAAATAAAGATAATTTCTGGTTAGATAGCAACAAAACACATCTTGGATCTTGATTTTTTAGCCGCGGTATAGCAGCTCATAGAATGGTTCCGTTTTTGTTTTTTTCAAGTACAATCTTTTAGCCCATAGCTCCGTCTTTTCTTAAGATCTAATTACAGTTTTGGACTCAGGAGGTCAAACTCTTTTGATGGATGTATTTAACCATGTCTAAGGTCTCGTAGATTAATTTACTATAATCCTGCCTAAAATAATTTCAAGTGTCGCTGCTACTGAGGATTCCCTCTTACTCTTTTCTGAAAGAGCATCGTAATGAAATGACTCAAACATTATGCTAGGGTAGTGGGATAATATCTATGTATACAAGGAAATGTTCATCAATAATAAATATCTTATGATAATAAATGATATAATGACGGATTGTCACACTAACTTAACTCACCTGCCTGTGTGGCATTCCAACGTTGGAGATGACCAGCTACAAAATTGCCTAATTACTGTCGCAAAGAGAGACTCTCCGATCTCGTGGTGGAAGGACAGGTGAAACATTTCTTCGCGAGTATTATATAGATCCGCTTTATAGCAAGAGGATCGATCAAACAAATATGAAGTAAATCTGAATCTAGTTAAAGGACTGAGTTTTAAGCTAAAAAATAAACAGACTGGACACGTGATGTAAAGTGTAAAAACAATATTTATTCTATGTCAAATTAAAATCACAGAGTGCGTACTCACATAGACACTAGATATTCATTTCCCCACTGGATCTGTCAGTCAGTCAATAGTGATATATATATATATATATATATATATATCGACATGATTTTCCTTTCCAAACAAAGTAGAATTAGATGTGGATCTGTTCTGATTAGAACTGATGCTTTTTTCAAACAGAAAACCTTAGTTTTTACCGATAAGCAACAAACGTCACCACCTGACCGGTCATTCTCTTACAACATACAAAAGACGTAATCTTTAGACATCATCTACTTGGCCAGTGAAATACTTTGCTGTCGGTGACCTATCCTACACAGTGTGTAAAACTGCAACTATATCCCTGTGAGTAAAGTATTCACTAAAGAACAACAAAGACACAAAGGTAACTAGAATAAAACAGTACAACAGTTTTCTGGACCGTGTATTTATGTCAAATCTCTAAAGAATCAAACCAAACGAAAATATTTAAAGATTTCTACTCATGATGTCAGAAAAACACGTATGTTCAATAAGTCTTGATACAAAATGATAAAAACCCGATAACCCGAGCGCTTTCGAAAGGTCGACCTTTCTTCTTGAGTTTGTCCCTAAAGATTTCTATATTAGTTAAAGCTGGTAGAAACCATGTGATATGCCTGCATATTACGCGGTTGGAATGAAAGAAACTAGACACGGTATGAGGTCGAATAAAAATAAACACTACTAATGCGCACAAAAATGACATTTGGCTCACCGTCTGGTTCTACTACTGTGTTATAGTCAATTGAACAGAATATAACAACTAACTGTATTTAAATAAGAGAAAATTAAAAAAAGCGTTGATTATGAAAAGTAGACGAAAATAACTTTACTGTGAAAGAAGCTGGAAACTGTTTTGGCTGAATATACAACAGGAATCACACATAATCAGCAAATGTCACAATAAACAGAAACAACACATAACACTTCGACAGCAAGTCTTGACCCTTTTAAAGATAGAAAATAGTCAAACTTAGAAAAATCTGCTTCTGCAATACATATTGTTTCTGCAATTGCCGGATCATAAATTTGGTTTGACAGAAAGTAACACCAGGGGTTGAATTAATATACGATCTGCCCCCAGTGGCACAGCTGTATGTCTGCGGACTTACAACGCTGGAAACCGGGTTTCGATACCCGTGATGGGCAGAGCACAGTTAGCCCATTGTGTAGCTTTGTGCATAAATTCAAAAACAAACAAACAAATACACGATCTTGTCAGGATTTACTATATTTTGAATTAGAATACTATAAAAATAAACCACTTGTAAATATAGAAATAAGTATGAGAGGAGAGTGAGATACTTGAGATATGTATACTACACCAATAAAGAACAATCGAGAAGTCTTCTACAAAATTTAATTTACTGTAGTACGTAAATACCACACTTCTCAATTTGTTATAGTACATATTTTTGAAAGTAATGAAATCTGCACAACGCATGGAGATTAATGCAATGAAATAAAATCCCTCTCATTCATTTCATTTTCATATTAAGCCTAACGAATAGCACTTGCTTAAAATATCTATAGACGAAATAAATTTGTTTAAATGTCAATATTATGTGTTTACAGGATTTCATTTTCAGATTCCCGTTGAAGCAATTCAACGGTAATTTTACTAAAAATAGTTATGAATACATATAAAATGTGCAATCAACCATATCCCTTGGATAAGAGCATATAAGCAAAATGATTTTCTAGTGGATTGTTTATAACCGTCTTTTATGATACTATGTATTATTTCAGTAAGGAAAATTGCATTGCGTTTGTTTTTAAGCAAAGAAGACTGACTGCAATGCATTGTTGGCAACAATGTTTGAGTTTCGAGGCAATGGATGCATCCAGCACAATAGAGGGCTCATGTTCTCTAAAATAGATTCGGGGATTTTTTCCGATGGATCCCACTGTTTCTTGTCATTTTACTGAGCGCAAGAAAAGATCGATGTGAGTGTTTTTTGGTCATTGTCATTTCTATAAGAAGTGTCAAAGGGAAGATATTCAATTCAATTAAAATAAATTTATTTGGCATAGTACAATAAAATCATGCATGTATATAACACGACATGAATATATATATATATATACATATAAACCGAACAACAACAAATGTATACTCAAACACGCTCCCCTTTTTCTGTTCATGCTACTATCTTCGAAATATTTCTTTCTATCAGTCGACGGAGGGAATTCCTGTTTTTTTTTCGTGAAATTCCCTCACAAAAAGAAACATATTTGTTGTTAGTAAATTTTTTCTCAGATTGACGTTCAGCACATCGAAGACTGGCGAATCGATTTTGGTATCGATATGAAATTTAAGGAAGTGTAAAAAATGAATACTTTTGCTGTAATGTACTTTATAGGATTAACCGTTCAGGAGATACAAAGCGTGACAGACAGACATTTGGCTATTATATAGATGGAAAGATAGATGATCAGTAAAAATAATGCAAAGCGAACAATTTTATTTAGCAATCTGAGAACAAGATTACAAAATTGGGCCTAACGTTCTGTGACTAAAGTATTGTTAAGTTTACATATACACTTTTTGGTAGTATTTGTATTTTTATGAATACCAAGTAAATAAAACTATTAAAAATCTACATGATAATTTTGACTGAAATTGGCCCGACAACGAGAAAATAATCATATGTGATCTTTTTTTTTTCATTCATAAGCCCTTACTTCGCGCACAAATACAAATTTTACCGTACTTGTGTATCAATAAACTGCCAAAAAAAGTGGTATCAACAAAATTTAATGTGCGAATAACCCGGAAATTAGACCTGTTTTTTTGTAAGTGGACATTAGTTTGACTTACGTGTATAAATAAGCTAATAATTTCAAACTTTAAAATACAATAAAACTTATAAGTAAATAGCTTATATACAAGACACTACAGGTTCAAAATGGTTAAAAAGATACTATTCTTGTATAGTTTTAATATGATCTAAAAATTACAAGAAAATATTATTTCATCAAAATATTTGTGCGACCCTAAAAACCCAATTATTCTAAGTGAAATAAACCGCACTGCTGCAACTTTTACATGCAACATCTTAAATAACTGCTGAATAAATTACTACGTTCTATTTATCATTAACTACTGATCAAAGCAGGTTGCTTAACATAGATCAGAACTAAAAATTAACACAGTGATCGATACAGTCCTTATTTATAATCATTAAAACACATTGATTCATTACCAATACATTCATCTGTAATCCGAATAATATCTCATGATGTTTGACCAGGTCAGGTATTTTTTCACTCGGAAATTTGCACAAAACTATACAGAGAGTATGTGCACTAGTCGTCACAAATTTTGAGCTGACAGGGAACACAACCAGTCAACAGCACCAACTCTTTGGTTACTTTAATTGAATAGTGGTATTTGATCGTTAGTTTTATAGAAAAGCGCGATTTGACAGCAAAGGGGTGCGAACCATGGACCATTTTTTTCACAGTCCAGTACAATAACATCTAAGCCACAAACATCATAATAAAGATATATATGTGATAAAAGATAAAAATAGTAAAAATGAATATATTATACGTCATTAACATTTTAAGTGATACTTTTAATAAAAGTAACACGAACGCTATATTTACACGAGCGTTCGTGTAACAAACAGCAGTTAGTTTGGTCTTTACGAAAAAACAAACAAACATAAATGTTCCAGTGTTTCTTAAAATAAGGTGGTACACCACATACATTTTATATTAATTTTATACGAGACATTTAATACTCAAACCTAAGTTAATTATTTTGACACTCCTCTGAAATGTTTGTTTGTTTTAGTGCAGAGCTCCACAATATAATAACTGTGCTCTGCCCACCACTTGTAATCGAACCCCGGATTTTAGCGTTGTAAGTTAGTAAACTTACTGTTGGCCCACTGGTATCTTTTATTTGCTTTTACATAAATATATGTTTATTTATTTGTTTACAGCATTCAGCTGATCTGATTGAGGGTGTGGCTAGATTATACACGTAATTCGATTGCCATCCGTCATTCAAAACAGATGGTCGTCTGTCAGTTATGCTGAAAACCCATTTTATCTATTTTAAACATAATAATGGTTAGCTTTAGCTCATTTCACTTACGTGCATTTTAAAAATAAATAAATCTAATCAAACATTTTTGACAATCTATTAATTTAATAAAGATTTCAATTGTAAATCACGTGCCACAATGACGTCATTGCTTATTGCTGCATTCTGCTCACTGTGGGTGATATCATCAGTTGGAGATTTGGATGTTGGGTTAAGGTTATTTTATTCTACATTTAAGGTTATAACTTATAGGCCTAGTGTAAGAAGGTTTGGAGTTATCGCTCTTCCTACTTTTACTTGGTGAGAACAAATGATGTCCTCTCCAAGTGCTGGGAAGCGGCGAATGGACACAGATGTTATAAAACTGTATCCTTTTGCATTTAACAAATTGTAAAATTATTGTGTAATTTACGTTGTCTCAAATCAAACCCTGAGAATTATACTCTCAGCACGCAGAGGGTAAGCTTACTGAGTTACTACTTTTAATTATAAATATATACTAATATAGTACTTGTATTCCTTGTATTTGTAATATTCTAAGGTAGAATACTACACACAACTTACAAGTTGTATATTAATATGACTCTTACGAGTTCTATTACTATTATTACTAATGCTAGTATTATATATTTCTCGTACTGTCGTAGGCCTGCTAATACTACTAATGGTATTGTTATTTACAATGTTAATAGTAATACTAATAGTGTTGCTGTTTGAACTTCACTGCTACTAACTTAAGGTGTAATGCTATCTGTACTATAACTATTAAATTAGTATAACTTAAATTAGAAACCATACGGTTAATTGATATGATGAGAGATGTTTGACAACTTGGTATTTGTTACCATAGTTTTAGCCTGCTTTTTGGAGTCCCAGGTTTCATTTGATGGGTTCAATAACACTTGGAAAGCACATAGCTAACATTAACATTTTGTTGAGGCTGAACTCGGAGCTTTTGTACCAATTGTTATGCCATGATAATGTGTCAATTGTGTTTTTTCAAGTTTTCATCACTCATCACAGACAGAACCTTGCTAGTGCTATTTCAAAGGTAGGGATGCCATGGTTTGTTACTTGATATTAGCCTATTGAAATTTAAATGTGTAAGTTTGATTTAAAACTGACATTTCTGTACATGGTACAGATGCAACTTATTTTTGTGATGAGAAAAGGCTGATTATGGATTAAAAAAAGAAAGCTTTGGAAGCACTGAATTTTCTTCCAAGGCTGTCAGAGTCTATATTAAAGGGGATTGTCGTCATGTTAATAAGAGCATAAGAAACAGGTAGATGACAGATAGCTGAGCTAGTCAATCTTCAAACCTTCCTAATTTATTAAAAAGAATAATTCACCATCAAAGGTAGCTGTTTAACTGTATAGACTTATTAAATGGATCTCTTAAAAGTTAAAGAAACCTGAGCTAACCAATAGTCCATTACAACCCAATTTTGTAGATAAATAATTCCAGACAAATTTCAGTAAGATTTATTAGTGATCTGTACATAATATCCTTGCAAAGAGATGATAAAATTTTCCATTGGTACATTTCATGTAATTCCTCTGTGAGGTTTAGGTACTATTTCATTTATTGTATGGTATAACTAAATTAATTTTTTTGGAATTGTACTCAACAACATGAAAATACTGAGACAATAAACCTTCTTATATGATGTGCATTTGAGTAAGCAGTTGCAAAACCTCTAACAGGAATGTTTTATAAATTATTATTATTTTTTATAATGAGATGTTACTACAGAAGTTGTACTTTTACCACTAATTATTGAAACCGCAAATATAGTCAAGTCATGCGGCTGCTTGCCTGATAGCAATGATATTAGCATCAACTAAGCACAAGTCTTTCTCAAATTATGATTATGTACTATCACAAATGTCACTTACCTTTTCTTTTAAAGGTGTTTACAAGGTTTTTTTGGTCACACTATGGACTTTGATAACATTTTATTCTAGAGTAATTCAACTTAATCTGTATTTTGGTATTATGTATATGATAAAGCTCAAATTATCAAAAACTTTTTTTTTTTGCCTATCCAAAAGTGATTTTTAGAGTTTGTAATATAAACAATGTTTGTAGTTCTGTGTTTGTAATATATGTATATAGTACACAGCATTATTTATCAAACATCTGGTTCTTATGGTAGTGCTATTGTATCCTCTAGTAAATGCAACTAAATAAAAAAAATTTTGTTAAGATATTTGTATCCTTGTTTTTTATGTTTTTTTATAACTATGCCAACCAATCAGCCTGATAAGTAATACTTAATAAAGAAAAAATAAAAATAGAAAGTAATCTTAAAACTGATTATTTCATTCAGTTATTTCATTATACCTGTTGATAACATAATTCTCACTTCTTAAACTCTCTAGCAATTTTGAATTTTGGTAGTGAAATAAATTTGGCAGTTCTCTTTCCAATTGTTGAACATAGATACAATCAGAAAGTATGTCTTACTGTCATTATTATGAATGCTGTTGTAATATCTGCAATTTTTTCTTTAGTGTAGAAACAGAATTAGTCCTAGAGAAAATTATGAAGAGAGCTAGAGTAAAATCAATATTAAAGAGGGAGATTCAGAGGCTGATAGAGAATTTAAAAGAGTTTCTGTAAACCCATAGAATATTTGAAAGTGAATTTAAGTCATAACTAATTTGTGTTCACATATTAAATGTAACATTCAGATATTGTTTAGTCTTAAAAGTTTAATTGACAACAAATTATTTCATTGTTTACTTTTGTATAAAAAAATTAGTCAAATGAGGTTACAATATAGTAAATTGGTCAGTTTTAGCTAAATAACGTTTGAGAAATGAACAAAATCTATTCATTTTATTAAAATGATTTTTAAATTAAAAGTCAAATAAGTTGTTGTATATTAGTTGGAGGCACAGTGTATGTTCTTGATGAATTATAAAGTTTTTAGTTTTTAGAAAAGGCCAAGAGTAACCTGTCATATTTAAATATATCCAATTTGAATAATATTGGTTTGCAAAAACAAACTGAACTATGGAGAAGAGGCTTAAAGCTGACTTCTTTCGTCATAGTATACATATATAAACATCCTAAATGTGACTTGTTTTCATGTGTTTGGACCACTACCTGTGGTTGGGTGTGTGAGAATGCTGGATTGAAAAGGTTAGGAGTCTGAACTTAAATATAATAGGTATTAGGTTGAAGCTTAGATGCAGGTTTATTCTTTGATAAGTTTTTTTTTTTTTTCAAAATATATATAAACTTTCCCTAAAAATATGGCTTGAACTGTTAGTTTAAACTTTTTAAAGTTTTGTTGTCTAGACAACTGTATGCATATAAACTATATTTACATAGGTTTTGATGCTTTGATCAACTATTTATTTGGATGGAAGGTTGAACTAGATGGATTGAATGACTTTCTTTGAGAGCACGGATATCCACAAGGGGGGTACTTGCCCCCTTCTTGGATTATTAATTTTACTTTTCTTTAGCTATAGCTTTGATATCATTTTGTCATCCTCTGTAATATATCCTATGAATGCCCATGTTTTAAAGCTTGATGTTTAAGTATTTGTATAAATTATAAATATGTAACACATGACCACTGTTGGGATTACATCCAGGTAATTTTAGTGCAAAGTTACATATATAAACAAATATTGTTATCTTAGTATTACACCTTCTACTACTGTGGTAAAGTAAAAATATTAGTTGAAGATATTTAAAAGTTTTTATTTGATGTAACTATGCATCTTGAAGTGGATGTTAGGAATAATCAGAACAAATGTTATAATTTGATAGTTTGTTCAATGAATGATGATCAAGTATACTAAATAATGCTTTGTCATTCAAATATTATATTATGCAGGCGCAAACATAAGGGAATAAAAAGTTGAGTGTTTCATAGGGCAGTGCTTGTTATGCTTGTGCCCATTAGTGTTGTGTGATCTTAGCTTTCTCTCTCTTTTTTTTATTCCCTGGAATGATAAGATTAAGGTGGTATATTAAATGAAGAAAGATACATCAAACTTTCTTCTATATATATATATACATTTATTACTTTTTTAATCTCAGTGTATTTTGTTTTCTTTAATTTTACCACCAATTGGCAATGTGTAGAGATTATATTATTTATTTTTCTAGCTGGAGTACCCATCCGTTGGATGGGTGAAATAAAAACTTGTTTGTAACAAAGGATAGGAAATTGTGCTTCTGTTTCTTTCTTTTTTTTTTAACATAATAAACATTAAAAGTGCAATAAAAATACATGAAGGTACCAATACTGGAAAGAAAAACATGCTGTTTTTAATAATTCTAACAGTAGTGGTTACATAGTTCATTCTAATGCTAAGGGATATACAACATTGGTAGTTTTTCTGAAATTAGATATAAAATTAGAGGGTGTGAACCCCCTCATGTCATCTTGTATCACTGCGTCAAGTTTGGTGCTGATTGATCAGGAAATGTGGAAATGTATAAGGAACAGATACACACACACACACATATTGACATGTATTTATCTAAATAAGTTTACAATTTCTAAATTGTTATTTTGATTGCCAGTAATCATCATACAGTGCCTGAGAAAAGTCAAATACAGGACTTGAAAACTGTTCAAGAATATGTTAATAAGAGAAAACTCCAAAATTTGCCTTTGTCTATAGTTTGTAGTGTGACCAGTACAAATTGCTCATCTTTAGATAATCCTCTGTCTTTGTGTATTATTAAAACTGGATATTCTATAGTTATCATAGGCTTGAATATATTTCTTCATTATATATTCTTTCATAGTTTTTAGCCTACTCCATTTTTTCACAATAGATGGTTACTTTCTGTGTCGATCTAACATTTCATGTACACCACTGCCATACTATAATTTATTTCTTAAGCCTAGAGTACAAGCTGCTCCATTAGTTTTCTCTCAATAAAGCTTTTTGCCAAGTATGATTACCATATTATGTTACAAATTTATTTTAAAATTTCAATAGGAAACAATCAAAGGACAATAATTAACATTAAATTTTAAGTGAAAAAGACAATAAGTCAAAACAGATTCTGTATAAAAGAAAGGATATACTGACTTACTGGAATAGGTTGAGGGGGTTGCTACTAAGAAGGGTAAAAGGTAGTCTTGTTGAAGTTTACAAGATTATTCAGGAAATCTATAGGATAAAGGTTTTTGATTTCTTTGTGCTATAATCTGAAAACAATAGAGCAAGAGGACACAAGTTTAAGATTTAGAAAATGGGGCCAGTTAATACAGTTTTAAGTTTTATGACAAGGTGATTAACATATGAAATGAGTTGCTGTTGGCAGTAGTGGAGGCCACCACTTTACGTGATTTGAAACAGGGAATTGATAATTTCCTGTAGAGTAA